TGTTCGCGCAAATTATATCTTAACCTGGGTGCCCATAGGAGGGTAAATTCAGACTGGGGGAATCTCAGGCCGGGCTGGAATTGTTCGCGCAAATTATATCTTAACCTGGGTGCCCATAGGAGGGTAAATTCAGACTGGGGTAATCTCAGACCGGGCTGGAATTGTTCGCGCAAATTATATCTTAACCCGGGTGCCCATAGGCGGGTAAATTCAGACTGGGGTAATCTCAGACCGGGCTGGAATTGTTCGCGCAAATTATATCTTAACCCGGGTGCCCATAGGAGGGTGAATTCAGACTGGGGTAATCTCAGACTGGTCTCAGACTGGTCTGGAATTGTTCGCACAAATTATATCTTAACCTGTGTGCCCATAGGAGGGTAAATTCAGACTGGGGTAATCTCAGACCGGGCTGGAATTGTTCGCGCAAATTATATCTTAACCTGTGTGCCCATAGGCGGGTAAATTGAGACTGGGGTAATCTCAGACCGGTGTGGAATTGTTCGCGCAAATTCTATCTTAACCTGGGTGCCCATAGGCGGGTAAATTCAGACTGGGGTAATCTCAGACCGGTCTGGGATTGTTAGTGCAAATTATATCTTAGGCCATCCTTAAAAAATTCTATGTTTGCTGTCCCCCGACCCATGATTTTTTTAGAGGGTAGGTAGGTAGGTCATTTTTTTGTGAGGCATAATAGTTATTTTCAGTCTGTCCTCATGTTTGCCACACATGCTTTGTGTTTCAGTCTTAACTATGAAAAATGTAAAAAAAAAAAAAAATGGAACCCAAAATGTAAAAAAAAACTTGGGTCGCGGCTATTTTCGTGGGTCGGTCGGAGGACAGCAAACAAATAATTTTTTAAGGATGGCCTTAACCTGGGTGCCCATAGGCGGGTAAATTCAGACTGGGGTAATCTCAGACCGGTCTGGAATTGTTCGCGCAAATTATATCTTAACCTGGGTGCCCATAGGCGGGTAAATTCAGACTGGGGTAATCTCAGACCGGTCTGGAATTGTTCGCGCAATTATATCTTAACCCGGGTGCCCATAGGCGGGTAAATTCAGACTGGGGTAATCTCAAACTGGTCTGGAATTGTTCGCACAAATTATATATCAAATTCAGACTGGGGTAATCTCAGACCAGTCTGGAATTGTTTGCGCTAATTATATCTTAATTTGTGTGCCCATAGGAGGGTAAATTCTGGAGGGTAATTATACCCTAGCCCTAACCCTAACCCTAACCCTAACCCTAACCCTAACCCTATAACCCTAACCCTAACCCTGCGGCAACTGTACACGGGCTATAGTTGTTGTATTATCATAATTATCTGTTCTTGTGTCAACAAGTTATCAGCACTGGCATGTGCTGCCACCTATGGAGGTTGGGGGGAACTAAATAAACATGGCTGGTTTCTGTTAACTCAAGGCTTTCGTCCTACTCATTATTTGTGTCTAATTAACGCCCACAAGATAAACCTCCTGACTCAACAATAGTTACTAGAGCTAGGTCCACAGGCACTTGAAGCGTTTCAATGTAGTGTGTATACTATATATATAAGTGTAAGCGTGCAACACTGGAGCCGCGAGAGCAATGGCCGCCGGCAGCGTATATGGTTGCACGTAGGATTTGGACGGAATTTACAGGAAACTGTCGGCAATAATAGGTGAAAGAGAGTATAGAAACATTAAGAATTTGGTAGTAAATAGATTTCGTATTTAGTTAGCATTATATTTTATTGAAATGCTTCAAGTGCCTGTGGGTGTCACGGTCTGAGATTACCACAGTCTGAAATTACCCCAAGCACCTCGTGCGCGTGCGTGACGCATCGCTGTAGCGCTGGATAATGAGACGGCCGTGCCCACAGTCTGAGATTAGTCTGGCAGTAGGAGGGTAAATTCAGACTGGGGTAATCTCAGACCGGTCTGGAATTGTTCGCGCAAATTATATCTTAACCCGGGTGCCCATAGGCGGGTAAATTCAGACTGGGGTAATCTCAGACCGGTCTGGAATTGTTCGCGCAAATTATATCTTAACCCGGGTGCCCATAGGTGGGTAAATTCAGACTGGGGTAATCTCAGACCGGTCTGGAATTGTTCGCGCAAATTTATTCTTAACCCGGGTGCCCATAGGCGGGTAAATTCAGACTGGGGTAATCTCAGACCGGTCTGGAATTGTTCGCGCAAATGATATCTTAACCCGGGTGCCCATATGCGAATAAATTCAGACTGGGGTAATCTCAGACCGGTCTGGAATTGTTCGCGCAAATTATATCTTAACCCGGGTGCCCATAGGCGGGTAAATTCAGACTGGGGTAATCTCAGACCGGTCTGGAATTGTTCGCGCAAATTTATTCTTAACCTGGGTGCCCATAGGAGGGAGGAGTCAATTGCACTGAAGGAGAGCAGATCATGGTGTGGGTTCGTGAATAAAGAACGTCGGGCCGCTTCAGGTCTTGCACAAGCGGAGAGCTGAGTCGCCGCCGCCGATCGTGATGTTGTCGAGACTGAATGCTGGGTCGTCGGCTGAGACGAAACCGGCGAGCTGTGGCACGGTTTTGTGGGAGCTTAAAGCGCGATATTGGGATTCGTCGAGGACCGCCGCAAGAGTCGCGAAGTCGCTGTGAACACCGCCGCAGCAGTTGCGCACGACCCAACTCTGGAGGTTTAGTTCGTGAAGCAGGAAATTGCGCATCCCGCTGAACTGAACTCACTGGCTTATGAGGACAGTAATCAGGGGAAAAGTACTGGATGGACAGCTAAGCGCTAAGGCAGTATGTGCCTAGGTCGAGGCAGAGTGTCGCAGAACGGATGTGAGGAAGCTAGCGGTTGACAATCTGTTTTTAGCGCAGAGTAGAGGTTATGTGTTTTATAATACGAGTAAGTGTGATGTGGCGTTAACGTGTTAGCATGAGCAGGTGTGGCAAGTGTTGCGGGTATATAACGATTTTTGTCAGGAATTGATCGTTGGATGATTTGAGATGTTTGGGAATTGTCTATGCGTTGCAAGAGGCTGATTAATTAAGTGTTTATTTGATCTGCCAAAGGGGGATGTTGTATTTTCAATAATTATCTGTTCTTGTGTAACAGTTATCAGCAGGTTGGGCATGTGCTGCACCTGGATGGAGGTTGGGGGAACTAGAAATAAACATGGCTGTTCGTGGTGGTCAAGGCTTTCGTCCTCTCATTATTTGGTAGTCTAATTACGCGAGCACGATAGAACGGTCGCTTGATCACAATAGTTCTGAGAGCTAGTGCAGGGCAGTTGAAGGCGATTTCAGATGTAGTGTGTATACATATATATAATAAGTGTAAGAGTGCAACACTGGGAGCCGCGAGGCAGTGGCCGCGCCTGGCAGCGTATATGGTTGCCGTAGGATTTGGACGAATTTGGAGCGAGAAGAGAGCGTGGGTCGGGCAGGTGAGGATTGGTTGAAAAGAGTATAGACTTAAGAACTTTGTAAGTAAAGTAGATTTCGTATTTAAGTTGGCATTAATGATTTTCATTGAAAGCCTGTTGTACGTGATCTAGGACTACCGAGCTGGCTGCGGCGCGCTAGCTGGAGGCTTTATTTTAGGGGGGGGCAATGAGTAGTGAAGTGTGCGAACAGGGGCGATAATCGGTACGCGAGGAGTTGTGGGGGATGATCGGCGATAGTCGCATGACATACTAGACGACACACACTAGGCAATAATTTACGCCGATGGCGCGGGATCGAGGGGAAAAAAAAACAAAAAAAAAAAAAAAAACACATCTTTTACCTTGAAATTTGAAATTTTTCATTGGCAAATTTAGCTATTTTTATCCACAAATCACAAAATTTATGGGTTTATTTCTACAAAAAAAGTTTTTTTTCTCTATGATCTAAAGCTTATAAATTAAGCCGCAGAATGCGCGAGTGCTCGGCCCGGCAACAAACCTCCCACACGCCCCCAACCAGCAGCCCCCCAAACGGCCAACAACGAACAAACAACAAATAAGGACACACCAGGCTAGCAACACAACGAACAAACAACAATCACACACCAACAACACACGTAGGATACTTTATAATGTGTATACAGTAGTGACAGGCCATGGGATAATTTGACAAACCGTACGATTTTGGCAGCGTGCGTAGGCTGCTCAGTGCTCGGGGGTCTGGGGGGCATGCGCCCAGAAAATTTTGAAATATTTAAGCGATTTCCTGGCAATCTGGCATTATGTGGGCGGCGCATAATTCTCAATGTCTGATGACACTATATCAGCCCGAGACTCACGCACAAGTTAGGATTCAAAACACTTTTTCATCTACTTTTCAGAGTGCGTACACATTTAGCGTTTAGGTTTACTATAGTAATATACATGTATTAAAACACCGGTAAGAATTGGCAATTTCTCGACAATGTTCACGTGTTTTTGTATTTTGGGGCAAGCCATACTTTTTTGCTATTTGTGAGGGGGCTGGAAACTTTTCTTGAAGAGTTCATTTGGCATGGTTCTGCCGCCCTCACAGGCTTGTGTTTTCATTATAATAATAATAGCCGTAATTCACTTCTGCATGCAAGACGGACATTCTCTATGTGCTGCAAGAAGCTTGATATATTGGGTATATTTGGATGGATGCGATTCCACTGCACAGCATAGCACTTGTACTTTCTGAGAGACTATATGCTCTGCTAGTCAGCTCTTCGGCTCCGTGCCGCA